CCCCAAAACCCCAAAACCCCAAAACCCCTTTTAATATGAATATGTTGAATCCTTTATGTGCATATCTCATTCTTGGATCTGGCTAAATACTACCCTTCTTTTCATAGCCATTCTCTTTGATAGAGGGAAATGAGCAGATTTCTTGTTTTTGACAAACCTTTTAGATTTGTGTCATTTCTTAGTCAAAATCTTACTATTTTTGGGCTTTTTAAAATCTGTATTCAGATCTTTTAGTGAAGATTTTTGAGAAGAATGAAGCCTAATACTTCCACTTCATGAACTTCTGTTGGAAACAACTAAAGTTTGAACTGGAAGTCTTACAATTATTTGAGATTTTATGAGAATGCTGAGGATTAGACTTTTGGTCTTCATAGACCACTGAACTTTTATTTTGATGATTTATTAAGATAGTTTTCCTCCTATTTTTAATTCTTTGAGTTAGCAATCTAGTTTGTTCGATGTTGTCAGTGCTGGTTTCTCAAAGTTCTGATGCTATATCATGATATCTTTGTGTTACCATTCTTTGTATCTTCTTTACTACATCAATTCGAGAGTGATTTCTGACTAGAAATATGAAAAAGTCTTCCATGAGTAGTTGAATCCCCGCTACAGTTATGAAATTTTTGTTCTTCATTAATATTTTGTGTCTGCAATAACTGTTGATTTTCTAATGATTCTTGAGATGCAAACTGAGATTTCCTTCTAAAACTAGATCTTTCCAAAATTTACCTTTCTATCTGTTGTTTCCGAAACTTGGATCGGCTAAAAATAAGCTCATTGTTACTTGTAGATTCTTTTCTTGATTCCTTTGAATAAATTTGCAAAATTATATTTTATAAAATTTCCTAAATTTGATCTTAAGGAATATTGGAGTTACTTGTCGAGCTTCTATGAGCATTAGTCATCTATAAAAGGAATTAATTTTAAGAAAATGTCAAAAACACATTTTAGAGGTTAGATACTGACCTTTAGAGGCTGAATTTTGGTCTGGAAATGGGAATTAGAGTGTAGCTCTTTTGTATTTGTAGGATAGAAATCTATTTGTTCAAGATCGGAGTTGAGAGACTTTATGTTAGAAAAAGAGTACTGATTTCTGGCTTCTGTTGTAAAGCGTTGATTTTGGAGTAAAATTAGTGGACTAAGGGTCAGAAGAGAGTGTACTGAAAGATGATTTTTTGTGACTTGCTTTGATTTCAATGGCTTTTGGGGAACTTTATTTTAGTAGAGAATGGTCGTAACTTCTCTTTGATCTCAGAAACTCTCATTTTAGAGGGTTATCAGGAGCATATCATACTTTTGAATATTCTATATTTCTTTCTATATATTTCGGATTTATTCTTTTAAACATCATTCTTGTGTTTATTTCTTTTTTATTCCAACAATTGCTAGGTTTGTTGTAGGGATTTTCAAGTTTCTTGAGGTCATATTCTGATTTTTGTCTTTGATATCATTACTTCTAATTCTTTTATTGTTATTTTTTCAGCCTCTCTTATCCTCTTCAACCTTAGTTATTTGCTTAGAACCTATAACAATTGGTCTATGTTTTCTTTGATCTTTTTACTTTCTGGGAATCCAAATTCTGAGTTTTTGGACATTTTTCTGATAAAAATTAGAGAACTGAATTATTTAGAAACCAACTTATTTAATTCTAATATAGACACAATCTTAATACAAGAGTTTAACCCAGATCTTAGTGTCTAAAGCACTAATAAAATAATGAGAGATTACTCCATATATAAACCCCATTATTTTTAAAACAAACAGAATTCCCCCAAATAATCATTTCAAATCAATACAAATCTAAAAATCCCAATAATCCAATCTCTCTCACCCAAAACCCCTCCACCCCTCTAAAACCCTCCCAAATCCCTCCATCCCCAATCCCTGCACAAACTCCATTATTCCTTCAATATTAATTATCTGCCTCGGGGTTTTGGGGTTTTGGGGTTTTGGGG